TTTTACTTATAGTAATTCTTCATAAAAACATGGAATACTTTTTTTTTAAATTTTTGTTAAACTGCATTAATAAAAGTTTATCAAATTTTTAAATTCATCATTGAAATTAAAATTTGAATGTTCCTTAAAATAAATTCATTATCTTCGATATTTATATAGCCCTTTGTATTTTGAGAGGATCTTTCAACTTATAATTTATTGCTTTCATGATTATTTTAGATGATAAGGCAAATTCCTTTATCGAATCAATAATTCAATTAAAATTTTTCAATTAAAGATCTTAAATTGTATTCTTTCATAATTTGAAAATTCAAATAAATTAACATTAAAAATTCAATCTATCAAACATTCACATATAAAAGTTTTATTTTTTGTAGTTTAAAAGTCATCAGATAAATGGAATGAAATAATTTATTATTGATAAGGTAAGCAATAAAGAAATTTTATTAAAATGATAGATCTACATTTTATGCCACACTTATAAAATTCAGTAGTTAAAATTGGGATTATAATCAAGTATTAGAATTATAATACTTTAGAGTTCTTATGGGATTCTAGAATATGATATAATAGATTTATAAATAGAATAAAAAATTCCTTCTATGATAAATCAAAAATTTCCTCATATTAAAATTATATCAAGTTTTATATAGATGTAATTAAAGTTCAAGTTATGACTAAAATTATTTTAATCAGTTTAATACTTTTAAAGATATACAATCATAATCTATGTATCATGTCTTATTATACTTTTCATTTCACTTTCAATTTTCTGAATTCTATATGCAACCAATTGAGTACTAGATGTCCTTAAACAATAATTTAAGAATATAATCTAAAAAATAGCAATCATATAGAGTAAAGTTTTAGTAAATAGCAAACTCTTCAGTTCTAATATTAATAAGATATTTAAAAAGATAAAATAGAACTATATAATATTGGAAAATTTCTTACACATTAAATAAAAAAGTTATGAAATCTTAAATGCATTTTCAAAGTTTTAATTTAATTTATATTAATTATATATATATATATGTCTCTAAAAAGAGTGTTAGAGTTTCAACAAAATGTTATTTAATAGATATGAACTCTACCAAATATATTATTCAATAATGATATCTCAAAGCTTATATAATTATTTAACCGAATTTATTCACTAGTTTAAACAAGCTCTTTTATAAATAAAAATATATTTAAACATTTGCTGCCTGTTGCCTTTGGAAAAATCATAATTAACTGATCTTCTTTAATACCCAAGGAATCTTATATTTAATTATTACAATAACAAATACTTTGAATTCTTTATTTCATCTTTGTATACTTTTTATTTAATAAATCAAAATGTTTTGGAAATTATTAAGAATGATTTTTATTCTTTATCCATCATTCATTTTTCTTATTTATTTAATTAAGAACAATTTTTTGATTAAATAAGCATATTTTAATTTTATCATATTTGATATAATACAAAATATAATAATTTAATTATTCTTGATGTAATTAAGACATTTTTGAATTAATACTACTTATGATTTTAAGAAAAATAAAAATGAAATTACTTTGATGATTAAAATTAGGATCATTTATTCCTTAAAAATAAAAATACAACTAAAAATTACGAAAACCTTTTATCTTCCATATTGAAGCCATTTAGCAATTATAAACAAAATGAAGATTATAATTTAAATAAATTCTAATTCAATTATTATAAATACTATTTCAAGCATACACAATAATTTAATAAAAATTTTTAATCTATTAGGAGACAAAATTTCAGCAGCCTTTCTTAAGGAAAATTCAAATACCTTTTCAATTTCATTAATTTTTAATCATCTCATAAATATAATAAATAATTATGAACTTTTTACTATCTGATCAACTCTAATAACAAAATGAAAGCCATTTAATGGCATTTTTAATTATTTCCTGTGTGTTCAGTTTATTGTTTAAATTTAATTAAAAAAAAATTATTAAATTTTTATTATTTTGTTATAAGTTGTATATTGTACAAACAATTATCCAAATTTCTAAGATATTTCTAATAAAATCAAATAGAAGAGATTTAATAATCATAAATAAAATGTTGAAACAAATAAGTTAATGCTTAATGATTTCATATAACTCATTCTTTCATAGTCAAAATAAATTGACAGAATTAATGATCTCCTTCTTGGGGTAGAATCTATATGTCTAAGAGTTTCATCTACTTGCATCTTGACCTTGCTCAATCTGGAGAGACCTGGATCAGTGATTATTTCTATCATATAATTTTCAAACTTAAGGACATAACCGTTAGGTAATATAGCTTATATTCTCCAATTTGTTTCCAAATTAAAAAATAAATTCTTTTTGATAAATTGCATAACAATCTATTTAGTTTGTTAGCTTTCAGTATAAAATTAGACTCTCTTTTTTTAGAATTTTCCTCTATACTCATCTATTTAATTTATGATCTATAAGGAGAGAGGATTTTGGTTATTCTCAATTAGAGAATGATCCATTATTAAAGAGCGGAGAATATTTTTAACCATATTCCTTGCATTTAACCACTTAGAAATTAAGATGTAATGTATAATTCTAAATAGATA